GAAGGAAGGAAGGAAGGAAGGAGTCCAGCGCGCAGCAGAACCAAAGAACATAGCATGCCAAACTAAAACCAAAATAGGCATTGCAGCGTATATTAGGTAGTTGCGCTACTATGACAAATAATAGAGTATACGAAAGTACGGCAAACCTAATTGAAAAAACATCTGGTTCAAAAAGAGGTTATATCGTCAAAGCTAAGACTGAAGGGAAGCATGGGAAGACAAACAATTATGTTAATTTCATGCGTTTTGCAGTTTTCTTGCGCTTGCATATTTTATGCATCATGGCTTTGTCATGTTAATCTAGGTCGACCGACTTGACTCTACCGTGCATGTCTATATGTAAATATAATACACATTTCGGAGTATCCTAAATCCTTTTCGGTTTTATCTTCGATGATATGAAATTCTCGAAACCGACTACTTTTTTCAATTAGGTGTACACAGGTACATAATATGTGTCATAAATGTAGTTAACGAAAGTGAAAATCTAGTGAATTGGTTTAATTTGTTTTTTTCTAGCTTGCAAGCGAGCTATTCTTATTCTATTCCACTACTGCATGTTTCAGAGCTGCGTACGACAATGATGTCGATCCTGACTCAGCAAACCAACAAGCAGCAGCAGCTGGTCTGGGCGGTGAGGACGATGGAATACCGACCTACGCAGCAGTAGACATGACCAATAAGAAGAAGAAGAAAAACGACATACCGGACTACGCTGTTGTTGATAAGACCAAGAAGAAGGTATTTATAGCGCTAAGCAACTTTTCATGGTTAATATTCATTAAATAAGTGTTATAAAAAAATGTTTTTGTAAATATGTAAAATGGCTGCCAATAAGCCCTTGCTGAGTGCTGCTAATACCTTGAGCCTACGAAAATGTGCTCTTATCACGTGATTAACTAGTTATGTTCCGGGATGTTCCGGAAACAATTTAGAACCGGAAGTAAATCTAAAAAAATCAGTTGAATATAGAGGGTTTGCACCATTACGTGCACATCCCATAATACTGCTTGGGCTTCCTGTGGTTAGATGGCAGAACAATAAAATACATTTGCCTTTGGGTATTTTTTCTTTCTCATTTAAAACGACTGTATTGTTCCTGCCATCTAAGATGGCTGCCGTCATGTGGTGGTGCAAAACTTCTATTGTAGTAGTCTATTCGGCATCCCAGAATTAGCCACGAAAACTGTTGACTCTGTCGTGTAGAGAAAGTATATTGCAACTGAGCAACATTGCCCCTGTATTTATAGGGAATGAACTTTCAGAAGTTGCTTTATAAAAAAATTCGGACACTACTGTAAGCGCGCTATGATTGGTCGAAAACCATATTGATGAGAGTATCGAAACACGCTATCGTCATTTTAATCTATCGCGCGCGCTCATTGGTCAGTTTGAATAAAACGGCACGTAGGGAGAATTTACTTATACTTGCCTTTTTACACATTGAATGTGTAATTCAGAGAAAAGTCTTAAACGTTTTGTGTACTCACCAGTTAGCTTCTTTGTTTTGTATGACATTTTCGCACATTTAGACTGCTGAACTGCCTTAGATTTCGACCATGACGAGAAAAAGTCATTATTGTTGTAACAGATTAAACGTAGTATTTCAGCGAAGACGAGTTTCGAGAATAAACAGTTTTTCCCACAGTAGAAAATATTATTTTGCTCGCCACGAGGTTCAAATCAAAAGACCAAACGCTCACCTTTGAGAGGAATTCCTATTGGTTGGGAGGATGGCATCAGAATGGTTTCCTTCGTGGGCCAAGGTTTTCTTGAACTCGCAGGATTTTTTCTTTTTTCTTCTTTATATTCGCTTAGATTGAATAGTGTCATGGGATTCAAGGAAAATTCATTGGCTTGACTCGGAAATTCCAAGTTGAATTCACTCGAAAAGGCGATATCGCCTTTTCTCGTGAATTCAACTTGGATTTCCCTCGTCAGCCAATGAATTTTCCTATAGAATCCTTTTTTTTCTATTGTTATCACTATTTAGTGCTAAAAATTAGTTTTTGTTTCACGGATTTAGTGTGAGCACTCTAATGATATTTTCTGTAAATTTGCCTCATTAGCGTCCAGGAGAAATCATATACGCCGAGCTTGCTGAATTCAACACCGCTGGCTCATCAGCAGCAGCTCCTCGACCGATAACCTACACCAGTACCGATTATGCTGACATCACCCAGTTCCAGCAACAAGAGGAGACAGAACCTACATATGCTAACTTCCCAGGCCGCGGTAAAACGTATACTGACATACAGGGTATGTAAGGAGGTGTGTAACTATACAGTTTTGTTCACATTGCACTAGTGATAGGTTTACTAGCATTATTTACCATAAGTGTGAAATGACAAAGACATGGCGGCCATGTTGGTGGTATTAGCAAAGGATGCTAATGAGGAATGTTTTGTTAAATACCAACAACATGCCCCAGCGTGCTCTCAAAAAAAATATACGGTGGAAAGCAATATACGACTGTCATTCTTTTTCTCCCCTCTCTTTAACTCATCTCGATTCCACAGTAAGAGGAGAACTCGAGTACCCCCTCCACCTCATGTGTCATGACTTAATAGCAATGAAATTTCCTTTTAGTTTACACGAACTTTGATAACGCCTTGATCTTCATTCATTGGCTACTGTTTTTTAAAATCGATGTTATCTCACATTTTACTGACTATTACCTTTGATTGGCCAAGAATAGTCAGCCAATCCCTGATAGCGTGTGAACTTGACATAATTAATGCATTATTTGCAGGATTGTCAGAAGATAAAACTTTCCAAGTATAATGGGAAGGTCCTAACGTAGATTGAAATACGATTCACTTTCGTTACGTAAGCATAGTAGAATCTTATATTTTAAAGCACAAAATGTATATTAAAAACGATTAGTGAATTTTGATTTTAAYATGATATCGTCAATMATCAAGACTTTGACAGTAGCAGTAGAGCGGTTTTCGTTTGAGTGGGAAACATACGGTACTKATTTGCAACACGTACACGGTAYGACATGCCGTAACATTGAAATGGCTTCCCATAAGAATGGTTATCTTATGCGTAGGAAACATATGGTACTGACTTACAGCACGTACACTGTGCCGTAATATTGCAATAGTTTCCTATTGTCTATTAGTAATTCATCCAATCACAACGCGTAGTTACCTCTACGGTTAGATACAGTCAGCTTCAGTACAGCTACGTTTGCGACTCATACGAAAATCGCTCTATGGGTTTCGGCAGATAACATGGCCTCAGTCTTGATAATTGACGATATCATCCTCAACATCGCTCAGAAAGGGGTTATAGACAAATCCATAATCTATCTATTATTGCGTGCACGCTGATTCTTCCACTTAGTATCTATCATGGTCCATGTGAACAAAACTTCTTTTTTTCTTACTTAATTGCTTATTTCGTTAGCTTGGTTAACTATTCGTATAATTTAATTCCTTGAGAATTCTAATATTTTATAATTATTTATAAATAAAAGAGGAGATAGTCATAGTGTTTGATTCAAATCAACATCACTTAGATTTCTTTCTTGATTCATACAAGGGTTATAGACCCTAATAGCTTTGTTTCCATTTGCTTATTTAAGGAATAGTTTCGAAAAATTAATCATATAAATTTTCCTAATATCTGTAATGTTCATTGTGCAAATTTCTACTATTTTAATTCATTCTCTTACGCCGTRTTCATGTTTCGTAGAAAGCCGGAATTTAGGTAACGCAAATATTAAAGTCACATGACAGTATATATATATATATTTTTTTTTTTCACTCACCTCATTAACATTTTTCTGGCTTGTTACCTCGTTTGGTAGTTTACATATTGAAGCCAGCCTCTTGGTCTTCTTCTAGTCACTGGGTTGACTSTGAAAAAATCAAAGGTATCAAAACTAATACGATTTTCAAAGACTCATTGCATTTTCTTACAAATACATGTTAAAGAACCAAACGTCGTGACTGTTTTGACTTCACTAGGCTTTTTAGGGGACAAATTAGCCTAAGACGGCCCCAAAATGCACTTCATGTAAACTCGACCCAGTTTTGTTCCTCAAACTTGGAATGGCTAATATACGAATTATCAAGAACATCTTTTATTTGCACAATTTTTTTAAATTTCTTTTGTTTGTTTTTGTTTTTGTCTTTTCTGCATAAAGAATTATAAATGTAGATTTATTGCAAAGTAAGGATAAAATAAATATAAATATATAGCTTAAAAACTGCAACTTTATCAACAAATTTAAACACTGATATTAATTTCCAAGAGTACAAAGAAAGAAATCAAACAACTATCATTGCAACAGTCATTGCAACTATTTTTGCACAAATTTATTATACAAATTATTGCTTTGAATATATTATAGAATTCATATATAGAATTATAGAGAGCTGTTATAATTATATATTATTTTCTGATGATACAAAAAAATAATCGTATTTTTGCAATATTATTATAGTTCGTTATATTTTTTATAGAAAGAGCAATCCTGAAAATTAGAAATCATGTAATACAAAAAATTTCATAACATCGAAAAAATAAATAAAATACAAAAAGACTATTACAAAACAGCTTTAAAAAGTTGGTAAGATTTTTCGGTTTTAATTGCATTAGTTTTCCCATCTTTATAAATGAACTAGATTGATTTTTTTTAACACGTGAAAGAAAAATGACTATTTAGTTAGTACTAGTTAATAAAAGACAAAATGAAACAATGGGTTTAGAGTCGAGTACTAACTATTTTTTCACGGGTTAAATATACTCACTCTAACATAGTCAAGCACGTAGTATTGAAATCGCTAACTTACCAACTTTTTTGTCCACCTTGCAAAACAGCTTTGAATGACTTTACTCAATATACTAGCACACGATCTTCTTAGAGCGTTCTCCTAGAAAAGAAAAAAAGAAAGAATTTAAACCCCTCTTGAGACCGTCTGAATTAAAATTAAGCAAACTGCAAAGCGTGCTCAAAAGAAATGGTTGATGTCTATGGGACATCAAGCCGGAAATTTCATTTTATAAGAAATCGTGTGCAAAGCGTGGAAGARGATCCTTCTTACCTTTTGAACTCTATTGCCATTATTATACACCAAAAGAAGTAATTTCTACATTTTTGATATAAATTTTATACATTTCTCCTTTTCATACTATTTACCGTGTTCGTTATGAGAACAAGTAACATTTTTTCATATAGGAATTGCATAGATTTGATACAGCGTATACACCTATTTCAAAAAACGTTGTCATCGCCAATGTCTATAGGCGATAGTTTATTCCGTCATGGAATGGTTTCGTT